CCCACTCTGACCAGGCTGTCTTCCCCCTTTGTGTTCTAGAAAATCTCAGATGACTTTTCCTCAAACCCTGACCCTCCTTCTCAGGACCGAAGCAGACTGTTCCTCTTAAGCAGAACTGGCTCTGGGAAATTTGTAGTCTGTAGCATGGAACTAGATGCAAGAGTTGCCTGCTGTTAGATCAGTATGGACATACAGTAAGCGCTGAGAACCCAGACCAAGTTTCCTATTTTATCCTCGAAGGGTCGTGTGATTTTTTATCTACTTGAATGGGAATTTGATATTTGTACAAAATTATGTTAAGCTGAAAATTGATGTAAAACCATGAATTACAGACATGAAAGTTTGACCTACCTTCAGATTTCTTAACACGCTGAACAGGTAAATTATGTCCCTTTGCGTCTGTAGCAGTGTATGTGTTCAGGTTCACTGTGTAGGTCTGATGATTAATTTTGACATCTACTGTCCTTCTCTTTGTTCTCCTTGCATCCTCCAGTTGCAGAATGGTTATTTTGTCAAAACTGTGGAATGTGTTATTATAGTTATATTGCCACTCTATAAATTCATGGACATATTCTGCCCGGGATTCCTGTTCTTTGGCCAATCTTGCTCTCTTGAGCATTGCCTCAATTTCATCTCTAGCCTCAGTCACATCTCTGCTAATTCCCAAAACCTCAATCAGAGGCTTTTTATGGTCCAAGGATATGGCAATATTTAATTTCTTCTGTAGCTCATTCAATTGTGTGACTTCTCTTTCATCAAAGTCTTTGATACACTCATCTTCACTGGTGTAAGAGCAGTGTTCCTTTTCAATCAGGTTCTGTATCCAAAAGAGGGCATTTTCTACACATTTCACATTTTCACCACACACCTGAAAAGTTGTTGACTCAATTTTCTTTTTCAAAACTGAAGAATTGTGTTTTTTTTGAGACTGCTGTGAAGGGACCCAAAATATTAAATAAAACAGCAAAAAAGCCAAAAATTCTAAAAACAAAAGAGAGGAGGGAGCCAAAATTGCTAAAACAGGAAATACAAAAGCCAAAAATACCAAAAAGTTAAAAAATAAGGGAGCAAAAAATGCTAAAAGCGAAAAGAAATTAAGGTTAGTAATTTTCTTATTTTTTTTTTACAGACCTACATTTTATATCCCCAGAAATTATAACTAGAATTTTTGCTTTCTGACCATCTTCACTTGTTTTGCCTACTTCCACCTCCCTTTCATTTCCAAGACACCCTGCTGCTTCTGGCAACCACCAATCTGTTTTGCTATGTGTTCTTTTGTTGTTGTTGTTGTTGTTGTTGTTATTATTATTATTATTTTAACTCCATATAGAAGTGATAGCACACAGTATTTGTTTTTCTCTGCCTGACTTTTTTTTTACTTAGCATAAATCCCTCTGGACCCATACGTTGTTGGGCAAATAGCAGGATTTCTTTTTTATGACTGAGTAATATTCCACAGTATATTTAAGCCACATCTCTTTTTTCCATTAATTTGTCAGTGGAAACTTAGGTCATTGCCACAGTTTGGCCTTAATAAATAATGCTATAATGACAATGGGGGTGCAGATACCTGCTTGGGATCATGATTTCATTTCCTTTAGAAAATACCAAGAAGTGGAGTAGCTGGGGCAGATAGTAGTTCCATATTTCATTTATCAATGGACCCAACTTTTCACATAACAAAAATATCAGAAACGTGTGTCTGTAAAAACAACTCACATGCAATGTTAGACATCATGGATCGTTGAGGAGAAGCCTCAGCTCCTCTTTTCTTCATGTTGGCATAGAACACATCCAATAATTGAGGCACAAAGAGAACAACTTTAACTTTTTTCAGAGCCTGTATAGATCCTTTCTGGACAAAGCCTTCAATGGCATCTATGATGGCTCCAGCAACCTTATCTGGGTCTTGATTAGCACTTCCTGGGAAGGAAAATAATACAAATAATGAAGGTGGGAGAATCCATCCTGAATAGGCTAAGCAATATTTTTGGAATTCTAGTTCTCACAGATAAAGGTCTATTTCCCAACACTTCCATCATGACAGACTTCCCTAATAAGGTGTAAGTAAACACTTTCAAAAGTCCTATATGCAAAGGGGTGTTTTTCCCCCAGATTTCTACAGCTCCTCAATGATCCAAGGACCCAGGATACTAACTTTTAGTGTCTGATTTTCTACCTCCTCTAATACATTGGTCCCACTCAGCGTTCCTCTGGAATACTCGGCACAAAGAGTGCTTGTCTCAGACTGTCCTCAGAATATCCATGAAACCATATGATGGTGGAAATACCATGCTTTTTAAAGAGAACAGTGATTTTCTGGCTCAGTTTTCACTTGAATTTACGCATTTATCACTCCTCTTGAAATGTCGTTAAGGATCTGATTCAAACCAAATTAATTCTGTAAATTTTTATAATCTTTAACTCCTTGCACAAGATATTCATGAACCTCCATGAAGTTCTTTCCTGCCAACTAGGGAGGAGTAAATTGCCACCTGAGGTCAGTACCTATCAACATGCTAGACCTCTTTGACTTGCCTATGTCGACAAATGTGGGAAAGCAGATAAACTGAGGGAAAGAGGAAATTCTCCTGGTTTACCCCATGAGATCTGGAAGAATTTAAGTGGGAGTGTCAGACACAAGCACCCACAATCAATCAACACTGACTATGGTCCTATCACAGGCTGATGCTTTGCAAGGATCTCAGGACACACTGGATATGGGTGTGGGGATGAGTAAGAAAGGGAAGAGACTTCTAGGAAAAGGGGATGCCAGAGAGAAGTGTGTCACAGGTGTAGTATGTCTACCAGTATGTTAAGGCAACAGAGCTGCTTTTGAAAAAGAGAAAAGTGAAAGAAACCCTAGAACCAAGGTCCAGGTTTAGTTAGCAGAGTGAAATAAACATTTGGGCTACGATAAGAGCTAAACAAAGGAAAGAGGTCAGAATAAGTGGTCGGGTGCAGGGAGGGAGGACATATTTAGGCTGTAAGTCCACAGGACCTGGTGACCAGCCGGGTTTATCCTCGACCCATGGTCCCATTCAACTCCTGCACACTCAGTGCACACGGGCCATGCTGTGCTGCACAAGTGTCTCCCATAGTAGGTGACATGTCCAGGTGGGCCAGAGCCTTTCCTAACTCATCTTTCTATCCCAGATGTCTAAACACAGGGCTGGCACATGGCTGGCATGCAGCAAACATTTAACCAAGCTAACTCATAAGCTACTGAACATAGGAGTACGGGAGGGTGGAGTCCAAAGATAGAGCGGTGCTTTGTACACGATCCAGAATTGTAGAGGAACGACAGATTATGGGAAAGAGAACATGAACTGGAGTTTTCAGTTGGCCTGGGGTTGTAGGCCATTAGGTCTTCTGAACTCCCATTCTCTCTACAGAGTCAGGTGTCCTAAGGCCAGGCAAAGGGCTTATTATAGTGCCAGAAGCAACTCAGTAACTCCACAGAGGGAGGAAGCACCACCATCCACGAGTCTGAGGACCAGCTCAGGGTGGGACAGAGTAAGAGGGCAGTTGAGGAGACTGTGCTGAGCTCCATTAGTCTGTGCAGCCCAGCAACTCAGTCAGCACAGAGGACAAGTGACAGGTTTGTAGGAGTCCAGAAACAGGCAGGTGCGTACTCATTCATACAGAACTGAAAGTGCCTCATGTTCTTGTTTTTTTCCTTGACTCCACTGACACCTGCTTTTTTTTCTTTTCTTTTTTTTTTTTAAGATTTATTGATTTATACATACAGAACTGGGGTACAGGCCAGAGACTCAGGGGTGGCGAGAGGCTTCATCAGAGACAGAGTGGGGAGCAGAACAGGCAGATCTACGAAGTACACGGGCGGGTCAGGAGAAGTCTGCCGCACCATGTGGTCACCTCCGGGGCAGGCGGGGCTCAAACTCATGCAGAAGTGGTTTCAGCTTCTCAGTAGAGTGCTTTAACCTGCTGCGTCACCAGGGAGGGCTTTCTTGTCTAGAATAAAATGAAGGGAGCAATACAAGAAGAAAACACATGCAAAAACAAAGAAGAAAAAGCAGGAATAACAGTCCATGAATGATTATTGAATGTTCATAAAGAAACAGTAATAGCTGATACAGAGATGAAAATTTGGCTAATCTGCTGAACTGGACGCTACTATAAAAGGAATGAAACCTGAGGTGCTATAAATTATAACCAAACAAATAGAAGGTAAACAAGTAGATAAAGCAAATCATGTGGGCACATAAGTGGAATGGTAGAGAACAAAAGAAATCAAAATATGGGACACAGAATTAGAAAAACCCAGAAGATGACATGGATGGTTAAGTCTACTGAGGTTAAATTTCTGGAGAGCCTAAAATGCCCATGTGAGACACTCAAACTCAGATTCCTGAGCAACAGAACGATCAGCCCAGTGCTTAGTGTGCTGTCAATGAACCAGTGATTCCATCTACCTCAAGCCCAAGAGTGTTTGCCTCTCCTGACCTGCTCCTCAGGGAGGCCAAGCAGGAACTACTACTCATCAAGGCACCTGACTGAGATTCTTGGGAAAAGAGGTCAAGGAGTTTCTTCACTTTGTCACCTCAGTAATAATAAAGCCAAAGAAAGGACTGTCTTTCTACATGAAGAACCACCCACTCATGCGTAGTTTGAGGAAAACAAGATACTCCACAGAGGTAAGGAGATTGGAAAGAGGAAGCTGGAGTGTTGTTTCTGACCCATTAGAATCCAGTGGGTCCCAGTAGATGAGAGGTTTCTGCACAGCGAAGCCCTAAGGTCAACCACATGGCCACTGCTAGGAGGCGAGAAGGGCTGGACATGCCCCTAGGTCAGTGGCGGCCAGGACCATGTCCATATGTGGGTGTCCTTCATGAAGGGGGTTAGAGGAGGGGGCTCATGTTAAGTAAGGGGGATGTGGAGAGGACAGAAAATAAAGATGCCACGTCCCCTCCCGCGGCGCCCAAGTGAGAAATCCTTAGAGCTTGGCACAGTCAAGGTACCAGGCACACGGGAGGAACACGTGGCCCTCCAGGAATAAAAGAATGGCTGATTCTCGAATGGTCACTATAACTTTTTGATTTGTTTTCTGATTCTGTTGATGCACAACAAAAAAAAGAAATGCTATGGATACTGTGCTTCATTTCTAATGATACTCTTGATAGGAATGTAACTTCCTTTATTCTCAATACTTATTTACTTCTGAGAAACTCCCTTACAATCTTTAATATTATTATACAATTAATTCCTGTATACCAGGTGGCTTGTAAAATGAATGGAGAGAATAATTAAAAGGATTAGAAAGGCCATAGGTGATAGATAGGGCATTTGTTTAGCAGCACTGAACCGTGAATACACAGTGGTTTCCTAGGGCCCAAAGTTGGTTTCGGGCCCCTGGCAACATCTCAGAAACAAAAAGAAATTAATGTATTGCCTGTCATGCCTCTATTGAAAAAATCATTATACCCCTATATTTGCTTGCCAAGAAAAACTGTATAAATGCTCTGCACTTTTTTTTATGCTCTGCACTTTTAAAAATAAATTACATTCAAGGCCCTCCCTGGTGGCGCAGCGGGTTAAAGCACTGCACTAAGAAGCTTAAGCCACTTCCGCATGAGTTCGATCCCCACCTGCCCGGAGGTGACCACATGG